AATATTACTATAACATGATATTATATTATATTATATTATTGTATTATTATATTATATTATATTATATTACATTACGAGTCTGAATTTTAGATTGTGAAGATTGTAAATTTTAAATTTCATTAGGGGTAGTATGAGTATTATGAAAGCTTCATTAATTGTACTATGTTGATTCATGCACAATCTAAAAGCTAAAGTTGCATTTGGACTGCTTCTGATATTAACTGTAAATTCTTCAAAAATTCTTTAAAAAGCACTTTTGAAGAGATTTACTAAACAAAAATTAGCTTTTGCTACAAACATAAACTGATTTTAGGAGCGAAAAATAATACCAAACTAAGCCATTATCTTATCTATGCTTCTTGTTCTTCCATAATCAGGTGAATATATATAGTTAAATTTCACAAATTTTATGGCTTATAAGTTTTCAACTTAACTTTTATCTTACAAAGAAAAAAAGCAATACCATACTAAGCCATTATCTTATCTATGCTTCTTGTTCTTCCATAATCAGGTGAATATATATAGTTAAATTTCACAAATTTTATGGCTTATAAGTTTCCAACTTAACTTTTATCTCACAAAGAAAAAAAAAAACTAAATCATAGGTTTAATATGACTTTGTCTTAGTTTGGTATTGCTTTTCTCTTCCAAAATCAAACAGAAGCTGATTTTAGTGTTTGGTAAATATCATCAAAAGTGCTTTTTGAAGAATTTTTTAAGAATCTACAGCCAAAATCAGAAGCAGCCTAAAGATAACTTTAGCTTTTAGATTGTGCGGGAATCAACATAGTACAATTAATGAAACATTCATAATACCCATAATACCCCTAATGAAATTTAAAATTTACAATATTTCAAATCTAATATTCAGACTTATAATATAATATAATATAATAGCAATATTGTAACAAATAATATCATAATTATATTAATAACTCTAATATTATTAAACTATCATATAATATGATATTATAATTATTTTAATAATATGATATTATAATTATAATATCATATTGTAATTGTTATTTTATAATACATTATATATTATATTGTATTAATATAATTATATTTATTATATTAATAATATTACAATAATAATATTACATTATATTATATTGATATAATTATATTTATTATATTAATAATAATATAATAATTAATATAATTAAATATTAATATAATTTATATTAACCATTTTAATAATATTATTATATTTTATATCATAGTTATATAATATGTTATTTAATAATAGTTTTATTGTATTATATTGAATATGATAATAAATATACATTATATTTTAATTATACATATTATATTATAGTATAATATAATATAATCGTTATTTTAATTATTTCGGTTATTATTTTAATAATATTATTATATTCTATATTATAATTATATAATATATTATATAATAATAGGTTTTTGTATTATAGTAAATATAATAATAAATATATATTATATTGTAATTATATTTATTATATTATAGTATAATATAATATAGTCGTAATTTTAAACTGTCCACAACAATTAAATCTCATAATTTATCAAACGTCATTACACTGATTTTAAAACCAGTACAGCTGTTATAATTATAGTTTATCAAACACTCAACTGATTTTTGTAACAGCTGCTTTTTCTTTCAGCACAACTAAAAGTAATTTTTTTAAAATTTACAGCACTACCAAACTAAGCCTTTGAATAAATCCAAACAGGGTTTTTTCTCCCGTTTCCACGTATATTTAGCACACACCAAATTCAATTGAAATTATGTTGAATGAATTAATTATTTGTTGATTGAAAAATAGTCTCCGATTTGTAGAATTAGTAATCTCTAAAAAAAATGTGGGATTATCATTTCTAGAACTCAGATTTTAATATTTTTGAACCCTTCATCACATATCTACCACTACCAACTCACCACCGGATGACAAACCTGTTGCGAACCCGCTACCTCCACTCTTGCGACGGAGACGGAACCCAGCTCCCTCCCTCCCCTTCACGACCCCATCATGAGATCATCTTGACCCCAGCCCCCTTCATGAGCGCATATCTCGTTAATCCCCCACCACCACAAGAGATCTCAATTCGATCGCAACCCAAGCAGCCGTAAGCAAAGCCCCGCCCCTCGCCAAGCACAAGGTGTCCACGCCCCTCAAGTGGACATCCCTTCTCCTCTCAATGTTGGCTTGCAAAACTTTATAGTTTGTTGTGTTGTATTATAGTTTTATTAATTTTTAAGAATTTGTAAAGGTATCTTTTCTTAATTTTTTCATTTTATTTTCATTAACATAATTCATTTAAATTTTATCTTTTAAATTGTAATTTGATAATTATTTTAATAAAACTAATTTCTAAATACTATATCTAGCTCTGTCTAGTCCAATACTGATCCTATAATCATAATGTGCTAAACATGGAACTCTAATTAACCAGTATTGATTGACAAAAGAGATGTGCCAAGAATTCGGTTACAATAGTGCGAAAACGACTGAATGCGATGGGATCAGATCTGAGGCCTTTTTTAGTTTAAATAACTGTTCACCACATGATAACCATCACATTATGTGCACAGGGAAAAAAAAGAAAAAATACAATAAAATTTCTATTAATATATTATTATAGATATAGATGACGATAACTAGCACTTAAATAATCAATAATTAGGCCAAATAACAAGACATAAGTTGGTGTGGATCGGGCTCAATTTGAGAAAACACATATTTGATCTTATATAATTAAAAAAAATTATAGAAAAAATAAACAAATTATCTTTAAAAGTGTAAGAATATGAACTTTTACCCCAACTCTTGATAAATACTTTTTTGACAGTGTAATTATTTAACTAAAAATATTATGAATCAAAAATAAAGAATAAAAATCATGAGTCATACATTTTTGTATCGTCAAAGATTACCCTCTATATATATATTGAAAATGGTATTTAAAACTTTTTTAAAAAACCTAGTATTTGCTTGTTTATGCATATAAAAAAGTAGTGTGTTTTGGAAACTGGTTAAAACAATTCAAGGACAAACGAAAAAGAAAAAAGAATCACAACAAAATGTGTACATCTCAAGCATGGTGATAACGAATATTTAATAATAAAAATGTAGGGTATGTTTTTACTTATATATATATATATATATATATAACTGCCTATATAATTCATATATGTGAGAGAATCTTGCTAAAACAGTTGAGAGACAATTACTACTTATTGAGTATTTTCCATACCCTACAAAATAATTTATCTATTTTATATTTTTATTTATTATTGAGTTCTAGTGTGGAATGTGTTTCCGTAAGTGCCAAAATTGTGTTTGTATTGGATTCCAGAGAAGAACATGAAAAAGGAGGAACAGGACAGCCAAGACAGGTTGGTCAATAGAGTAAACTCCAAGGACAGCAATGCAAAATAAAATTAAAATAATAAAAAAGAAACAAATTAAAGAGATAGAGACTGAGAAAGAGAAAAAGAAAGAAAGAAAAGAAAAGGAGTGTATTTACACAGCTGTGACATTGTGACAATTGAGTGAGTAAAGTGTGAACAAATTTTGATTTTGATTTTTTTTTTCACTCTTTATAAAAAAATATAAAAAGCAAAATTATTTATTTATTTTATTTTTTTTTAGTATTTTTTTTTCTCTCTCTAATATGTGTTTAGTGTCTTTTTGTTTTCACTTCCACCGGTTCATCGTCAACTCTGCTAAATCTAGAGGAGGAGCTTTATCTCCCCCAACCATGAGATTCTCCTCCAAAAACTGATTTTTGGGTTCTTCTGGGATTTCTCTCTTTTCCAAATCCCACTTTTTTTTTTTTCCTTCCTTCTTCACTTCTTCTTTTAACCAAATCTAAGTACCCACACTCTTCGCTACTTTTTTTTTTTACTATAAAGGCTCAAACTCCCACTTCTCTCTCTCTCTCTCTTGATTCTCCACCAGATTTGCCCAGAATGCAGCTCATTCGGAGGATGAAGACTTCATTAAATCTCTAATTCCTTCACCTACTTATTTTCTGGTGGGTTGTTGCGAGCCATTACTGCTTTGATTCTTTTTTTTTCTTTTTCTTTTTGTTTTGGCCTCATAATTTTAGGATGATGGTACTGAAGATCCTCAGGCTTCTCACGCGTATTCCTTGTGCTGATTTTGGGTCAAAATGAGTTCTCCATTCTGGGATTTTTTGGAAAGTTTTTCACCATTGAAGAAGGAAAAAAAAGGAAGCTTTTTGGACCAACATTTCTAGGGCTTTCAACTGAAACCGTTCTCTTCAGGTAATTTTGGCTAAAAATCTCAAATGGGTTCTTCTTAATTTCGGCACTGAATGAATCTGAATCTTCCGTTATTTTGCGAAAATGAATGATCCAGCTAGGTAGAAGCTGTTGTTTTGACCGTTTGAGAAAGGAAAAAAAGAAAAAGGGTTATAAAGTTTCTCTGTGTTGTTTGATTCTCTGTTTGTCAATGTGTGATATTGCAAATAATATTGGGGTTTCTTTTCATTCCGTTAGAGAAATGAAGTGCCAAAAAAGATTGCCCATACTAGCCTTTCATTCAATCTTGGTGTGTGGTCTTTGTCTTTGAGAGAAAGAAAGCTTCTTTTATAAGGATTCCAAAGTGATCTTAGAGTAAGAAGAGGCATCCAAAGCTGCTTTTTTCCAAAAAAAAAAAAAAAAAAAAAAAAAAAAAAAAAAAAAAAAAAATCTTTTTTTCAGTTTTTGGAA